CAGCAGTTAGTGTAATGGCTATGTCGCTGGACTACCACGTAGTCGACCGCGGTTTGCGTCCCGGACCTGGTGGCTTAAACTCACGCCAGGCGCGTGTGCGTGCGTGCCCAAGATCCAGAGAGGAGAATGGAGGAGAAGGGATTGTGGCGTGGTCATCCCCCCTGGGGGGTGATTTCTCTCTTTCTGTCTCTCTGTCTCTCTCTGTCTGTCTGGCGAGTGCACGTGCCCTATAGCAAAAACCTCTACAAAAAAAAAAAAAAAAAGAAAGAAAGAAAGAAAGTGAGAAATCACCCCCTGGGGGAATGGCCACGCTGCAATCCCTTCTCCTCCATTCTCTTCTCGGGATCTTGGACACACACGCACACACGCCTGGCTTGAGTTTAAGCCACCAGGTCCGGGACTCGAACCACCGTCTACTACATGGGAGTCCAGCGACATAGCCATTATGCTAACTGCTGGTCCCCAATTTATCTTTTTTAACACCAAATTTCTGACTGACATATATGGATTTTCTTTCCAGGGAATATTTATTAAACATTTTTGCCATTCTCCAATTCTTATAAAGCAGCAACGCATGCCCCATTGTTATCTAAACTTATGACAAATGAAATCATTGAAAGATTTAGCAAAAAAGGCAGTTGAGTCACTATTCTGGAGATTTAAAAAATTCTTACTCAGCAGAAAGAAGTGTTTACATTATTCATCAAGAAGTTCTGGATCGATTGAAATTCCAGTAACGTTTTCATTTAACTTATTTATTTATTATTATTATTTAAGTTTGACCAGAGAGAGAGAGAAGAAAGTAAGAAAGCAAGCTGCCAGGTCTGGGACTAGAACCACAGTTGGCTAGGTGGGAATCCAGTGTCCTTAACCACCATGCTGCCTGCTGGCCTCAAGTTCTATCTTTAATAAAAAAATAGTTAGATTTGACTAAGATTTATCAGCTTTAGAGGCCAAGACAATTAATTCAGTTTTGGGGTCTTAAAGTTTTCCAACCTTATTAGCCCGTCACTTTGGGCAGTTTTGTTTTTCTGAGGCTGTTTTCTATTTTGTAAAATAGGAATACTCCTAGTTGCCTGGTTAAATAAACAGTTGTGGGAATCAAATAAGGAAGTCTATGGAAGTAATTGTCACCTGTGAGATACATAACACTTTTCTCTTTTTCATTACCTGTCAATCCCGAAAACTGCATTTACAAGCAATTCTCACTTCAGCTCAATCCTAGAAAGTTAAAGGAATGATTTTCTACCTGCTGAAATTCAGGATCTCAGCTAGTCAGCATCAGAACCAAAGCCAGCCACCTCCTCATCTCACGTAGATGGGAGAGCTGTCCAAGTGGTCCTGTTTTGCTGGGTTGCTGGCAATCTGTCTTTAGCAACTAGAAAATCTTGGAAATTTCTTGCTGAGAAGTGGAGAGAGCTCACAAATCATACTTTGCCTCCTGGTATCTTGTTTTTATTCACTACTAGGTTTTCAGAGCTTGGGTAAATCTCACAAGTAGGTAGGGTCATGACTAGGGTGAAAAGTTCCCTGTCTAGGGTGTTAAATTTAAGGAGGCACTTGCTCTTGAAGTGGGGCAATATTTCAACACCAATAACTTCTTTTTCCCCATGCGCTATATCATGAAAAAGTATGGCCTTATTAAAATAAAATTATTTTTAAAAAGCAAAGCAAATGCTATACTTATCACTCAGAAGGTGTGGCAAATAGTTTTAGTGATGCAAGAGGGAGAGGTTAGAATGGAAAAGAAAATAAACCAGCATTAATCTGGTCAATTTTTATTAAGCTCTTTTAAAATCCATGTTTAGGGAACCAGCAGGTGGCATGATGGCATGGTGGCTAAGGCACTGGACTACTACATGGCAGACCATGGTTTGAATCCCAAACCTGGCAGCCTGCTTTCTCTGTCTTTCTGGTCAAATTATATAAAAATAATAATAAATAAAATTAAGTAAAATAATTCTTTATTTTAAAAAAAATTGTGTTGTGTTCTAAATGTCCATTCTTCACATTCTCTATGTGGAGGAAGCCCCACCGGGTACTTTAACCAAGTGTCCAAAGCAAGGGATACTTCCTACGTAGCTGGTGGTGGTGGTGGTTGTGGTAGTGGCGATGTGTGTGTGTGTTTGCTTGTGGTAGTGGCGGTGTGTGTGTGTGTTTGCTTTCCCCACTCTTTGTCTTTCCTATCTGGGTTGATGTTATTTAGGTTGAGTTATTGTAGCTTCTGCCACAGATCACTTCCCATCTGCCGTGCAGAGCACAGTTGTTCAAAATTTGAATTTGGGGCAGGAGGTGCGCGTCAGATCACGGCTGTCCCTGGGACCAGGAGACTGTGAGCGCTGGCGCTGCTCAGACGCCTGGAGATCATGTCTGGGGATGACACCAGGACCTTGGGGAAAGGTGAGTCTTCCTGCTCAGGATCCCTGGTCTTTGGGTGCCATGTGAATGGGATCATGGCTGTGGAGAGGACTGCCCGGCCTTGGCTCTGGGACCAGCCTAGCAGAGAGGATCTATTGATAGAAGGGCTCCCCTGCACAGAAGCCACATGTAAAAAATATCTCTCTGGGACTTGGCAGAGTGCGTGCAGCCCAGTGGGGATGCCGGGAAGTGAGTGAGCCCCCTCCCTAATGGGCTAACTAGCCTCGCTGACCTCTGCGCCCTCCCACCTTGCAGGGAGCTGCCCCCCAGGGCCAGTCCCTGAGGGCATGATCCGCATCTACAGCATGAGGTTCTGCCCCTACTCGCACAGGACGCGCCTCGTTCTCAAGGCCAAAGGCATCAGGTGAGAGGTGGGAGCCCACATACCCTAAGTCCGGGGCCTCAGAGGCACCAGGAAATGTTTAAAATCTGGTAGTTGTCTTGCTCAGATGTAGAAGGGACCCCAGTTATTAATGGTAAGCAAAGGGTGAGGTTTTATTTTAATTTAAGCTTTTTCCCCCATAGGGTGCTTACTTTCACTGGAGAGAGAGAGAGAGAGAGAGAGAGAGAAAGTGAGCATTCATCCCCCGGGGGGGTGGGGGGATGACTATGCTGCAATCACTTCTCCATTCTCCTCCTGGGATTTTGGGCACGCTTGCACATGTGCCCAGTTTGATTTCAAGCTGCCAGGTCTGAGACTCCAAGGGCAGTTGGCTATGTTGGAGTCCAGTGCCTTAACCACCATGCCAACTACTGGCCCCAAAGGGTGAGTTTTTAAACAGGCTCTCCTGAAATGCAGAACTCTTTCAGAGGTCAGGTCTCTGTGCTGGGAATTTTCAGGACAAGGCAGAGTAAATTGAATGGTGGAACTGGTGAACTGCTTCTCTCTTCTAAGGTTCATTTAGGAAGGACACAGCCAAGGCCACTGACTGCTCCATGGAATGCAGCAGCCCCCATGCACACCCCAGGCACTGTGGGCCAATTCTTTTAATCCTTTGCACTTTTGCCCTCCATATATATATTTTTTTCTTTTTTTTTGAAAGGTTTTTTCTATAGGGCACATGCACTCACCAGAAAGAGAGTCAGAAAGTGAGAAATCGCCTCCCGGGGACATGGCCACGCTGCTGCAATCCCTTCTTCTCCTTTCTCCTTTCGGGATCTTGGGCATGCATGCACACATGCCTGGCGTGAGTTTAAGTCACCGGGTCTGGGATTCGAACTGTGGTGGACTACATGGGAGTCCAGCAACAGAGCCATTATGCCAACTGCTGGTCCCTGCCCTCCATATTTTAAATAAAATATTTATTTTATTTATACTCACAGGCACAGTCTATCACCTCTCACAAAAAAATGTGAGTTCTTGAAGGTAAAGGCTTTGTCTCTTTTATTCGTGGGCTAGAAAGAGAGCCTGGCACATAATAGGTGCTCAAAAATAATTGTTGCATGAATGAACAGATCACTCCAAACATGAGGTAGCAGTAATTGTTATCAAGAGGTCCCTGGGGGGAACCAGCAGTTAGCGTAATGGCTATGTCGCTGGACTCCCACATAGTTGACTGCGGTTCGCGTCCCAGACCCGGTGGCTTAAAACTCATGCTGGGCGTGTGTGCGTGCGTGCCCAAGATCCCGAGAGGAGAATGGACGAGAGGGGATTGCGGGGTGACGATCCCCCTGGGGATGATTTCTCGCTTTCTGTCTCTATGTCTCTCTCTGTCTGTCTGGTGAGAGCACACGCCCTATAGCGAAAACCTCTCAAAAAAAAAATAATAATAATTACATACATACATTTTTTGAGAGTTTATTTATTTTTATTTATTTATTTATTTATTTTTGCTATAGGGCTGTTTGGTGACAAATTGGCACCTTAGGATATGAGTATTTCTTTAGGGCAGAGTTTCTCAACCTTGGTTCTTTGGACATTTTGGGTCATGTAATTATTGGGGAGTGAGGGGAGGGGCCAGCCTGTGCATTATTGACTATTTCACAGTATCCCTGTTTTCCATTAGATGGCAGTAGAATTCCCTCTTCCTCTTTTCCTCCTAGTTGTGACAACCAAAAAACAAACACAGAACTAAATAAAAAAAACACTTCTCCAAATATTGCCATATATCTTTTGGAAGGGATGCCAAAAATTATTCCTGGTTGAGACTCATTGCTTTAGGTTGTTTTTTGTTTGTTTGTTTTGTTTTTTAGTTTGTTTTGTTTTTGTTTTCTGTAAATCTGCTGTAGAGCACATGTGATTGCCAGGGAGAGGGAGAGAGAACGAAAGAGAGAGAGAGAGAGAGCGAGCACCCCCCAGGGTGCGATCTCTCCTCCATTCTCCTCTCAGGATTTGGAGCATGCACGCACATGAATCCAGCATGTTTTTCCAACCACTGAGTCTGGGTCTTGAACCCCTTGGTGGGCCATGTGGGATCCAACTCCCCTCACCACCATACCACTGGCTGACCCTGCTTTAGGCTTTTTGTTTGTTTGTTTGTTTTTATGGGGTTGGCCCTAGAGGGGCTATTTTTTTTTTTTTTTTTGAGAGATTTTCACTGTAGGGTGCGTGCGCTCGCCAGACAGACAGAGAGAGACATAGAGACAGAAAGCGAGAAATCACCCCCCAGGGGGGATGGTCACGCCGCAATCCCTTCTCCTCCATTCTCCTCTCGGGATCTTGGGCACGCATGCACACGTGCCCGGCGTGAGTTTTAAGCCACCGGGTCCGGGACACGAACCGCGGTCGACTACGTGGGAGTCCAGCGACATAGCCATTACGCTAACTGCTGGTTCCCTAGAGGGGCTATTTTTAATTTTAGGTTTTTTTAGAGTTTTTTGGGGGAAACATTTTTTAATTAATTAATTTACATTCATTCCCTAAGCATTGTCACAGCATACAAAATGTGATTTCCCATCCAGAATATACTGCATAGTGACTTAATCATGCATGTTATCATCAATAATTTTCCATATATACATATATATATATATTTAACCCCTATTTCTGATCCTCTGCCCTTTTCCACCCTCGTCCCACACTATCCCTGGTGTCTACAATTGTTTTCCATTCCAACCCCCCACGTTTTATTGATCACACAATTTCTTATCTAACTACATTCAATAGCAAGTTCAGCTGGTAATTTCAAGAAAAAACAGTTTTAACTTTAATAAATCAAAGAAATGCTAAGTAGGTGGCATGATAGTTAAGGCGCTGGACACTCCCACCCACATGGCTGACCATGGTTCGAGCCCTGCTTTAGATTTTTTTTTTTTTTTTGAGAGATTTTTGCTACAGGGCATGTGCGCTCGCCAGAACGAGAGAGACAGAGAGACAGAAAGCGAGAAATCACCCCCCCTCCCATCCCAGGGGGGATGGCCATGCCGCAATCCTTTCTCCTCCATTCTCTTCTCAGGATCTTGGGCATGCACACACACACGCCTGGCTTGAGTTTAAGCCACCAGGTCCGGGACTCAAACAGTGGTTGACTACATGGGAGTCCAACGACATAGCCATTACGCCAACTGCTGGTCCCGCCCTGCTTTAGGTTTTAAGACAATCTCCTAAACTGAGCAAAGAATTTACCATTTTTTTTCTTTTAATCTTTTCAAAACATATGTGTGTGCCTCTGGTATCTGTCAAGGCATAAGCTTCTAGTGATAATTAAGAAGAATTAAAAATTATTGCATGTTTTCTGTACTAGGCACTTTGTACATACTTACTTATCTGATCATCACAATGATGCCTTGGACAGGTGCAATTATCCTTCCTCCCACACACTCCCCACTACAGTTCAGGACACTAAGCACGGACTAGCTAAGGAATTTGACCAGGTTGCATGCTAGACACGTCAGTCGGATGCGGGGATGTCAACTGTTAACCTTTACAATGTTCTTTTCGACCTGTTAGTAGCAGAGTTTTATCTTTAGGCTTTAAAATGTACTACACTCTCTAATTCATGGTTGAGTGTGTCAGCTCTGAGTCAGTCTGCCTGGCTCTGATTTGGCTCTGCTGCTTCTCAGTGGGTGGTACTGAGTGAAATTCAATCTCCTGGAGCCGTGTTTACTAGGAGATAAACCTCACAGAGAGTCACAGGCACACATGAGATAGACCTAGAAAACATCTTACCCATCTTATTGCAGGAGTGGAGACACTGATACGTATTTTATACAAAATGTAGACTTTAAAAACAAATTGCATATTTTAATTTCATACACGAATTGCTTTTTTTAAAGAGAGATTTTTACTATAGGGCACATGTGCTCACTGGAGAGACAGAGACAGAAAAATAGAAGCAAGAAATCACCCCCCCGCCCCAAGGGTATGGTCACGCTGTTGCAATCCCTTCTCTTCCATTTTCCTCTAAGGATTTTGGGCACAGTTGTATATGCGCCCTGCATGAGTTTTCCGAGCCTCTAGGTCTGGAATTGTTTTTTATTTTTTTTGGAAAGGTTTTTGCTATAGGGCGTGTGCACTCTCTAGAAAGACAGAGAGAGACAGAGAGATAGAAAGCGAGAAATCACCCCCCAGGGGGGATGGACATGCCGCAATCCCTTCTCCATTCTCCTCTCGGGATCCTGGGCATGCATGCACACGCGCCCGGCATGAGTTTAAGCCACCAGGTCCGGGACTTGAATCGCGGGCGACTACATGGGAATTCAGAGACATAACCATTACGCTAACTGCTGGTCCCTGGGTCTGGAACTCTTAACAGTGGTCGACTATGTGGAAGTACAGAGACGTAACCATTTCGCCATCTGCTGGTCCCATAGATTGCTTATGAGTGTGTGCCTAAATTTGCTGCTCATTTTTGTTGTTTTGTGTTCCCTTTACATGACCAGACATGAAGTTATCAACATTAACCTGAGAAACAAGCCTGATTGGTACTATACAAAGCATCCTTTGGGTCAAATCCCTGTCCTGGAGAACAGCCAATGTCAATTGATCTACGAATCTGCCGTTGCTTGTGAATACCTGGATGACGCTTATCCAGGAAGGAAGCTGTTTCCACATGACCCTTATGAACGGGCTCGCCAAAAAATGCTATTGGAGCTATTTTGTAAGGTACATTCAATTAAAGAAAAAAAAAAAAACAACCACAAACACTCTATTTTATTTTGTATGTCTTTCCCAAGCTTCACCCCATTTTAAAGCCAAAAGTCATTGGTGGAATGGTTTTGTTTGGCATGGATTTAGAGTAGGGTATGACTGCTAATATGACAAGGTAAAGTCTTTTTTTAGAAAACAAAAATCACTTGTTTATTTATGTATTTAATTGTCATGATTTTCAAGCCACCCAGTCTGGAACTCAAACCATGGTCGACATATGGGCATCCAGTGCCTTAATCATCATGCCACTTGCCGGCCCTGATGGGTTAGTCTTAGATGCCGGGTGCTTTTTAATTTCAACTAGCAGTCTTGGAGGGATGGTTATGACATGATAATGACTGTGTGAATTAATATAGAAATATCGAAAGAACTAGAAAATGATGATCTTTAAAGAACACAAACACTAGTGAATATTTCTCAGGCTTCAAGTGAGAAATATGGGCGTGTGAGGCAGGAAGGGATTGTCCTTTATGCAGGACGAGAGTGCTGGCTGTGTGAGCAATGCCAAGGACAGAAAAAGGCACAACTGGTGATCATGGGAGAAAAAGCAATGGAGGGATTTTAGACGGTTCCCTTTGAAAAGAAATGGAAGTATCTCAGTGATGTTAATAGCTGACATACATCGAACACTTACGTGCCACACACAATTCTAACAACTTTATAGAGGGTACCTCATTTAATCCTATAGCTGCCCTTTGAGACAGGCACTGTTATTATATCCATATTTCAGATGAGAACCCTGAGGTTTAGCGAGGTTAAGTGTCCTATGTAAAAAATGACCACCTGGGGGGACCAGCAAATGGCATAGTGGTTAAGGTGCTGGATTCCCACATGGTTGATTGTGGTTCAAGTCCTGGGATCAGCTTGAACATCATGCCTGGTGCATGTGCATATGTGCCCAGAATCCCGAAAGGAGAACGGAGAAGCGTTTGCGGTGTGGCCATCCCCACAGGGGATGGGGTGTGTGGGTGTGATTTTCAACTTTCCTTCTTTCTCTGTCTCTCTGTCTCTCTTTCTAGTGAGAGCATGCACCCTAAGGTAAAAATATTTAAAAAAAAAAAGCCATATGGAAGCAGCTGATGAAGTAAGGAGCCTGGGAGAACCCCTGTTAGCAGCAGCTTGCTTTCCCAGAGTTCTGTGAGAAGCGGACTCCTAGAGCCACAGAGATCACCTAGAGCCTTTCACAGGGAGCTGGGGAGGCTGCGTGTGCGTGTTGTCCTGTTCAACCGGAGCAATTAAGCTTTGTTGCATTTTTCAGCAGTGTGGGGATATGGAGCTTCTGCAGACTTCTTCACTGAGAACCTGTGTCCTTGATTAGGTCCCGCCTTTGACCAAGGAGTGTCTGGTAGCGCTGAGATGCGGGAGAAACTGTGCTGACCTGAAGGCAGCTCTGCGGCAGGAATTCTGCAACCTGGAAGAGGTACAAAACGGGGCCCTCTCCCAGTCAGATACAGTGGGGAAAGCCACGCAAGGCTGCTAACCTGGTCACCCTGACATCTTCTGGCTTCACGGCCTTGTTCTTTCTGCCACTTTGATCATTTCAGCTTGCAGTCACCTGGGTTTCATTTGTACATGTTTGTCTTCCACTAACCTGCTCTGCAATTGTTCTGGAAAACCTGGGATAGAGTAGGGAGGACTCCTGGTGAAGTGCTTCCTCTCGAGGAGTCACCACATTCCTTAGGGATCCCTGCAGGGCTTGTGTGGCTCCTGCCATTGCGACCAAGGTCTGTACTGGTTAGCGATTGTTTTTGGCTGCTGCTAAGAGGAACTTAACTTCTGTAAATTTATCTTATAAGGTTTTATTCTTTCACATAAAAAGCCTGAGGCAGGTAGTTCAGGGCTATTTTGATAGCTTTTTTATGAAGTTACCAGGGACTGAGACTCTTTCTCTCTTATTCTTGTCATCGTTAGTGCGAGGCTTCAATCTTCAAAATGACAGGATAGCTGCTGGAATTGTAGCCATCACACCCAAGTTTCAGGCTCAGAAAAAGTAGAAAGGAAAACAAGAAAAGCTAAACAGCCATACTTTTTTTTTTTTTTGAGAGAGATTTTTGCTCTAGGGCACATGTGCTTGCCAGAGAGACAGAGATAGAAAGTGAGAAATCACTCCCTGGGGGGGTTGACCATGCCGCAATCCTTTCTCCTCCATTCTCTCCTGGGGATCTTGGGCAAGCATGCAGAGACTCCTGTCTTGAGGTTTAAGCCACTGGGTCCGGGACTCCAACCGTAGTCAACTACATGGGAGTTCAGCGATACAGCCGTTACACCGTCTGCTGGTCTCCAGCCATGCCCTTTTAACAGGCCTTCCCAGAGATCCTCCCTAATGACTGCTTACATCCCATTGGCCAGAATTTCATAGGCAGGTCACACGTATCTACAGGGGAGGCAGGAAATTCGGCCTTTTAGCTGGGACACTAAGCAAAATCCGTGCTCTGTAACTAAGAGAGAAGGGGAAATGAGTCTGAGTAGACAAGAGCAGTGTGTGCTAGGAGGTCCGTCATTAACCTGGCAGTAATGGAGCTCCTTACCTCAGAATAATCTGGAAGGTAGTTCTTCGACTTCCTTTATCTTTGTCCCAAAGACTGATAAATTCTCTTTATGAGTGGGTTGCTCCTCTGTTGGCAACCAGAGAATGTGATTTTGTCTCCTAAGGGAAGGCTGATGATTAATGCTCTTCTACTTGACCTTTATCAAGTGGAAGCAGATTACATTTATTTACATTTCCAATTGTCTATCCTGGATGTGTATAGCTGCAGTGTTTATGGGTGATGACTTGTCATATGTAAGACATTTCAAGCTTTTGTTCTGAGACCACAGACCCTGAAGAAGCAGCATGATGTGGTAGAAAAAGTCTTGCACTTCACTGTGCACACTCCATCTCATTTTCTTTGTCTTTTTTCTTTTTCTAGAATTATTTTTATTTTATTTGTTTATTTATTTTAATTTGACCAGAGAGAGACAGAGCAAAAGGGAGAGAGAGAGAGAGAGAGAGGGAAAGTGAGAAAGCAAGCTGCCAGGTCCAGGATTCGAACTGTGGTCAGCCATGTGGGTGTCCAGCGCCCTTAACCACCACGCCACCTGCTGGTCCCCATCTCATTTACTCTTTCTGATAGCTTTCCAGGTAAATGGTACTAGTAGCGCTTCATCAACTGGAGTGACTTCACTGAGCAGGCTCTAGCAGGCTGTAGAAATATCAAAACGGGCCCAGCTCAATAGCACAGCAGTTGAGCACTGTGGCTAGAAAGTCATATCCCACACAGCCTATTGCAATTTGGATCCCACTTCGGTGGCTGGAAACCTCACTAGGCATGTGTGCTTGAGTGCTATAAAAGCTGACGGGATGGAGAAATGAAGGAAAAAAGATTGCAGCATGGCCATACCCCATGGGAAAGTGTTTCCTCTTTCTATCTCTTTCTCTCTTTGGCAAATGCAACTGTGCTCTGATGATAAAAAAAAGAAGAAGAAAAAATAAAGAGGAATACCAAAATTAAGGACCTTCATGGAGGTAGAGCTAGAAGAGGGTCTACATTGTTAAGCCTGTTTAAACCTAGGTGTGTCCAGTGCTAGGCCTGAGACATAGTTAAGAGGGACCTGGTATGTGGGTGGATATGACTTTATTGACTCTTTTTTTGTTGTTGTTTTTTGAGAGGTTTTTGTTATAGGGCATGTGTGCTCACCAGAGAGACAGAAAGTGAGAAATCACCCCCCAGGGGGGATGGCCACGCTGCAATCCCTTCTCCTCCATTCTCCTCTCAGGATCTTGGGCACACATGCAAATGCACCTGGCATAAGTCTAAGCCACCGGGTCTGGGACTCAAACTGCAGTCGACTACATGGGAGTCCAGTGACATAGCCATTATGATAACTGCTGGTCCCTGCTTCTATTGAGTCTTCAAGGGTGAACTAGAGGTCAGGGAGAGATGGTGGTGTGTTTAGCAAGCAATCAGTAGGTAGGTTGGTGATGAAGGGGTTAGTGGTAACAGGTGAACGTGGAGCGTTGACCAGAGTCTGAGGCTAAAGGGCCTTTTCCACTGTTCAATGAATTGGCACTTTATGCCACAGTAGACAGGGAGGAGAGTGACGTGTTCCTTAATGTTTTTTGAGTTGTTCAGTCCAGCAAGTGGAAGATTCATGGGGGGTCAATAACAGGATGAGTGAGACAAAGAGGTCCACTCTAAAGAGAAAAGGATTTGATAGAGGGTTTTTTGTTTTGCTTTGTTTGTTTTTACCATAGGCCTATGTGTTCGCTGGAGAGAGACACACAGAGAGAGAGAGAGAGAGACAGTGAGAGGGAAAGTGAGAAATCACCCCCCTCCCCGGGGGAATAGCCATGCTCCAATCCCTTCTCCATTCTCCTCCTGGGATTTTGGGCATGCACACATGTGTGCCTGGCATGATTTTCAAGCTACCAGGTCCAGGACTGAAACCACGGTCAGCCATGTGGGAGTCCAGCACCTTAACCATCATGCCACCTGTTGGCCCCTGACTGGGAAATTTTTTTAAGGGACTCAGGTGATATAAAATCTGGTGAAGGAGCCGGAGTTATCAAGGATGATTCCCAAGTATGTAGTCAGTAAATGAACGCTTTCACCGAGAGACAGCTGGAGGGAGGAAACCTTTTGTTCAGCTTGAGGTGCTGATAGGACACTCATGTGAAAACAGAGCTTAGAAAGTAATCTGCAGGGAGTACTAAACCTTTTGAATCATTTTACTGGCTGTGAGCTTTAACCAGAGAGATTAGAGATATAATGGATGGTGTGGTGATAAATGTTTATCAACCAACTCTCTGAAAAAAGAAGGGGAAAATAATCCCAAACCTCCATTTGTAGCATGTGCTGATTTTAGTGCTGTGAATACACAAGCCTAATTTTAAACTACCAATATGAGATCTCAGGCTTGGGAAGAGACAAGCACAATTGGTTGCTCTCTTGTGTCACTGAGTTACATGTTCCATTTTATCAGCAGTCAGTCAGTCCTAGAAATACTTGTGGTTTACCAGCCTGGGTTTAGGAAGTTTTCACTGATGCTATTCAACACCACTGAGTATTCTGCGTTGTCCCAACAGATTGGAATGTGGTTTTTGTTCCATAGAACATTAAGAAGACTTGTAAGTATAACAGCGACAATATCAAAATCTGAAATCATGACCAGTGAACTTGAATTATACAATCCATTCCTCTCAATTTCAATATGCAGACTTCAGGAGATTCCAGTGAAATTGAAACTTAGCAGAATCATTTTAAGAGAGATGATCCCCTGACTTATGTCATTCTTTTTCATGGTTTTGTACAATCAGGATTTTGTATGAACTGAAACTCTGTTAATACCCGTGGTCTTTCTCAGTAACAAGCAAACCAAGATTTCAATGTGTAATCGTCTGCAGTTATCCATCCCCAAGCAAGAGACTCAGCTTACCTGTCGTCTCCTTAAACTCTGACACTTTTTTTGTATTTTTTTTTTTGATAGAAAGTTCATGGACAGGCCAGTCAGTGGCACAGTGGTTAAGGCAGCTGGATACCACATGCCAATTGTACAATTTGAGTTTTGGATCCAATGTCTTGAAAAAACATACCAGAATTCTGTGTGTGTGCCCAAAATTCCGAGAGGAGAATGGAGGAGAAGGGATTGTGGAGTGGCCATCACCTATGGGGGTGCTTTCTCACTTACCCCCACCCCATCTCTGTCTTCAATGAGCACATGGACCCTATAGTAAAAACTAAGTGAACAAACAAAACGTGGGTGCAGGCCAGTTCATAACCGGGTGGTTAAGGCAGATGGATCCCATATGGTCAACCCCGTGGTGTGAGTCCTGGTCAGTAGCTTGGAAAATATGCCAGGTGTATGTGCATGCACGCTCCAAATCCTGAAAAGAGCGAGAGGTGGAGAAGGGATCATAGCGTGACTGTGCCCCACGAGGGGTACTGTCTCAGTATCTCACTCACTTTTTCTTCGACTGATGCATGTGCACGCTGGCAAATTTTAAAAGTATGTGCATGTGCATGAGAGAGAAAGTACCCTGGCACACTTGACAGGTTCTCATCTTGCCATAATCCCCATTTCCCAGCCTCCAGCTTCTCAGGATTATGGGTGTTCATGGGCACACCCAGTATGTTTTTCTGGCTGACCTAGGATCTGAACCAAAGTTGCCATATGGCTTCCACCACTGCAGGGTGCTGATGTTACCACTCTGCTATACTGTCTGGCCACTTTTTTGTTTGAACTGAGTATCCTATCTGATTTAAATTTTCTTCTTGGAAAAATCCAGTTTGGGGCCAGCAGGTGGTATCATGGTTAAGGTGCTGGATTCCCACATGGCTGACAGTGATGTGAATACTGGACCCAAAGGTTTGAAAATCATGCAGGGTGCACGTGCTGTGTGCTATTACCCCTTCCCCACTCCAGAAAAATAAATAATAGATAAATAAATAAACAGAAAGAAAAAAGAAAAAGAAAAATCCAGCTTCATCAAAATGCAAGATTTATTATGCTTGTTATATGACCATATTTTTCTATAATATTTGTACAAGTTTTGGAGATACATTGTGTATTTATTAAACCAGTAACCTGCCCATTTGCTTTCCTGTTCTGAACATTGGATGCATTTAAAAACCATTGGGATGCTCTTTTCAAACTGTGCTTTGTCTTCAAACAGATTTTCTAGCCTTTGCTGAATCATTCATCAAAGCAGCACACATTTTTAAACTTTATTCTTTTTTTATGTTGTTATGGACCTTTCCATTTTAAAATAGCACTCAAGCCAGGCTTTATTTTATTTTTGTGGATATACATGTGGTACCACCTTTCAGTGGCTTTTTCTTTTTTTCTTCTTCTTTTTTTTTTTTTTTTTTGGCCAGTGCCTTCATTCAAAATATTTTCACCAATTCCAAATGCAGTGAACGGTAGGATTTGGCTGAATTTCTTGGACCCTTTGAATTGCTGCTCTAAGTCCATGCTCTCACACCTATGAATTGGTTCTACGTTCTGGGCATTGCTTGATCCATTCTCAGCCATCATTAGAACTCAAAAAAAAAAAAAAAAATGACAGTGGTCAGAGGATAGCATAAATAATCCTGAAACAGCACTGAGGGAGTGAGAACCTGCCCAGCAACTGAAACCTCATCTTCCGGTGGCCTCAGGATATTTTATGCTTTTGCTTCTTGCACTCATCACCCTGTTTTGTACCTTACTTGGCATTTCCATGCACAGTTTCCCACATTGTCAAATTTGATTACATGCCTTATGGGTAGCAGTTTGCATGAGGATGAATTGGCATAAGTTTGTGTGTATGCTCCAAGAGCATCTGTAGTTAAGTACTTTCTTGATTTCAAATTTCACCTATCATCTTAATTAAAAAAAAAAAATTGCCAGCAGGTACACGCACTCGCCAGAGAGACATAGAGAGGGAGATGAGGAGAGGGAAAAAGCACCCTCCCATGACGTATGGTCATGCTGTGATCTCTTTTCCTCCATCTCTCCATCCTGTTGGGATTCAGGGCATCCAAATGTGCCCAGTGTGGTTATTTAAGACACCAGGGCTGGGATTCGAACTGTGTGGTCAGCCACGTGGAATCCAGTTTCCTTAACTACCAAGTTCCAGAGCAAGCCTTATGATCCACTGTGCTACCTCCTGGCCCCTACTAATCTACTTTAAGTCTCTATGGAGTTACTTATTCTAGATGTTTCATATAAATGGAATCGTACAGTCTGTAGCCTTTCATGAGCTTCTTTCACTTACCATCATGTTTTCAAGGTTTACCCTTCCTTCCTTTTTATGGCTAAATAATATTCCATTATGTAGATACACTGCATCCTGTTTTTTTCATCAGCTGATGGACTGACAAATTGCTGTTTCCATTTTTTGGCTATTTTGAATCATCATGCTAAAAACATTGCAGATTTTTGTGTGGAATTATGTTGTCTGTTTTCTTGGATTGGTTAGCTCAGTTGGCTGTCAGCCACTGTGCCATTTTAGTTGTAACCACTGTTCTTCCAAACTGGGACACTGGTTGTCCTCAGGTCATGATAGCTAGTTGAGCACTTCAGTGCTTTGTTAGTAACATCATTGGTTGTCCAATTTTGATGGCTGTTTTCTAAGAAAACTAATATTTCTGTATTTCTTTTAATAGCTTTCTGCTATGTTCTCTTCTACTATGTAAATAACAGAATAACAATTATTATGTGAAGTTAATTTTATTCTTGTCCAATTATGAAATAATATTTGTTCATTGAAGAGAATTTTGAAAAAAAAAAAAAAAGGAAAAAAGAGAAAAGTGTAGAAAAAAAAAAGCCATAATACCGTTTCCCCAAAGCAACCACTGTTAGCATTTTGTTATTGTTTTCTGTCCCTTTCTACTAATATATGTTAGTAGAAATATTAGGTTGTTGGGAAAGTCAGGACACATTTTTGCATAGAAAAATACACAAGTCATGACGTATTTTTCTATGCAAAAATGTGTCCTGACTTTCCTGATCACTATATATAAAGGAAGGAGTGAGCTTCAGAGAAAGATGGAGAGACAGGGACCCCAGGAGGGTCCTAGCACATCTGGATCCTTCCCCAGCCTGCAAGCCAGCCTGCAGACACGCCTAGCATATTCATGTTCACCTGGGATTTGAACCCCATGTCTTCCTGTACGGCTCCAGTACCTCACAGCAGTGTTCTGCAACTTATACCACTCCAGCTGGGCCTACAATGTATATTTTTATATAGTTGAAATTGTGCTGTATATAGAATTTGGTTACCATTTTGACATAAATATTTTTCTTTTCATAAAGTCTATAATGTTTATTTATGCATATGAGCATTTATGAGAGCAGCACTATTAATAATGATAAAAATAATAAAACTTAATATATGTTAGATGGGGAATGGTTAAATAAATTATGTTCATGCTGTGGAATTCCATGGGGCAATTAAAAATGAATGCAGTAGATCTGTGTTCTGACATGAAAAGACTGCTAGAAATATTTAAGTGAATTATATAGCAATAAAGATGGCATGATTCCATTTTAATAGAAGAAAACAGAACTGAGCTACACATGTGTACATACACACGTAAATAACATTGGCTACTACCGATAAGGGGATGGGTTAAAATTGGGGTGAGAAAGAAAGGTGCTTAAGAGCAGGGTCTGGGGAGGGAGGAAAGGTCTTGTCTTCTACTCTGAGTGTGAATTTTTTAAAATAATGAGAATGTATTCCTCTATTACATGTGTGATTATTTAAAAATTTTTTTAAAATCACTTTTAATGTCTGCATAATTTGCCAATTTGGTTAATGTCTGCATCGTTTGTCACATGTATAAACCATGAAGTTATTTATCTAGAGCTTTAACTAGGGGTGTTTAGATGGCTTCAAGTCCTTTACCATTATGAACGATGGAGCAGGGAATAGCAGGCTTTGCATAAAAAGCATTTTCTCTATCTTAGAGGATGTTTTTAGGATGTACTCACAGGAATGGAACTACCAGATATGAACACTTTGGAGGCTGGGACTGTAATTGCTAAATTGCTACCCAAAAGATCTGTACTGTTTACTCCCTGCCCCCAGCCGCCCCACCACCAATGCAGATGCGCTGTAGAGATTTCATTCAAAAACACATTGGCGTTCCCTTGTTTTGGAAATAGTTTCTCATTGTTGACTTAATGTGGCTTTCTCCGATGCTAGTGAAGTGTAAGCTTTTCCCCAAAGTATGCCATCTTCTTATACGTGCTCTTATTAAAATTGCTCTGGGGTTTTGCCCATCTGCCTTGGCAAGGTCTTACTGATTTTGTTGATTTATAAAAGTTCCTTATAGGGACAATGGGTGGCGAGGAAGTTAAGGTGACTGGATTGCACAGGCTGTGCATTTTGAGTACTGGATCTGGTGGCTTGAAAAACATGCCTGGCAAATATGTGTATGTGCCCACCCTCCCCCCCCCCAAATTCTTCATATATGAAGTACATTTGGCTATTTTTTAAAAATTTGGTATATGGTGTTTATGTTCGCCATGAAGAGACAGAAAGAGGAAGAGTGAGAAAGCATTCCCACCCTCTGGGAGTGGGAGGTGGGGTGGTGGAGGGCTGGGGGTGGCGGGAAGAGGTGGCCATGACACAATCCTCCATTC